ATAGAATTGGATCTTCAAAGCACTAGGTCAGCTACCTGAAGAGGTGAAATCATTTTAGAGCAGGCATTTGATTGTCTGCTCACAACTCTGCAGCATATTAAGTACAATTTCTCTTAAAACTGACATTCTTCTAGGCAAAAGCTATGGAACCACAGTAGACTGGATGGATTCTACTTCAGATGAAACTGCCCTTTGGGAGAAGATGATGAAATCACCAAACACCTGGGTAGAAGATACACTACCACTCAGGATGCTAATGGTTGCAAAATTGGCAAAATAAGATGGCTTTTTAATTGCTAGTGTCAAAAAAGAAACCTTGGGAACGAAATTGAAGGTGTGGGAGTGAAACTTGGAAGAGGAACACAGTAACTCTTTTGACAGTTTCTGCTGTTGCTGTGCTGGTTTTGTGCTGTCAAATGTCACTTTGTGTTTGAAGTGAAACATCTACCTGCAGATGATTATGTAAATTTAAGGGATTTTTAAATTCCCTATTTGTTGAAAACAACTTCAAGAAAGCAGGCACTTAAGAGAATTCAGTGTTAGAGGTAGCTGTGATACCTGGATGCCTGTGTTCCCTAACTGAAGCACTGCTGATCCCTTAAACAATTTAAATTACCAGCAAAACATAAGAGCAAGTCACCTTTTTCTGTACACTTCTAGGATTGTTCATGAAGTCTTTTTAATAAGATAGCTACATTAGGGTTGAAGCTCATCAGTATGTGTTTGTATCTTCATTATGCTGTGCCACATCTCACCAGCATAGAATGTGAGCACGAAGAATTCAGCTTTTTGAAAGTTCCTCTGTTTGTAGCTGTACGTTTCTAAGATATGAAAGTTGCTTCTCCAGTGAAAGAAGAATGACATGAAGTGGTACTGTCAGTGTCCTGTTCTACAAGGTGCAGAGGACTTAGTTCCAATGTACTGTAAAACATCAGGGTTGTAAAAAGTTTGCTTTATGTGTGTTAATCATCTTGCTAGTATATAGTTCTTACCCAAATGCTGAAAGCATAGAGGTGATACTTTTTTTATTCCAATGCTCCTCGAAAGGATCTAAATGTGTCAATTTTAGTGATGATAAGTATGTTGGGTTTTTATTCTCTGAAGTGCACTTGCCTGTACCTGGATCTATTAGCTTGGTTCTTTGCAAGAAGTACCTTACCTGTGCTTCAGCGCCACCATTAGGAGACTCATGGGACTCTGGTGGTCTCAGTTAAGGTAGTTTTGCTGCTTAGGAAGTAAGAGTGGAATATGTAACTTGTAGAAATGCATGCTACTAACAGATAAATGCATTAAATACAGAATGTATTACTTTCTGGGTTTTTATAAATAAAAGTAACCTATTAAAACTAAATAGCAATTCAATGTTTATTAAAGCCCAGCAGTTTATGTCAGCCATTCAACATGCAATAATAATGAGATGAGGATGGAAAATATTTTTGAAAACAAATGCACATTTATTTGCTTCAACTGTGCAAGTCTAAAAGCTGATGAAATCTTGCTCTTCAGTCAGGGTAGAGGGGAGAAGGGAGCTCTTCACAGCTCCAACTCAACTGCTTGATTTTAATCATAGAAATTTGAAAGCTACTTGCTATTTATTATACACTATGAATGGAAAAAAGGGAAGGTACCATTCAACCTGCTGGGGAACCTGCTTCCCCCTCTCATCAACCTGGCAGTCTGTGGAGTCTGCAAATGCCAAAAGCAGTTGTCAGTCTTTGATATCTTACTGCTTCAGGTGTTCTGGATGAGATTGGTAGCTGCTAGAGCTTCAACTTTGCTAGACACATAAAAAAACGCTCCTTGTATGCCTAGAGCACGTGTACAAATGATACTTCAGAACAATGTATTTGTACTGAAATCGTACAGCAGCTGCTCTGATTCCATATTCTTAAAGAGCCACTGCTGAAAGGGTGACGACTCTGGAAAAGAGAAGAGGCACCTAATTTATTTGTATTCACTACCTATATGAATTAATTTTTCACCTGAAAACATAGGTTGCTGTGAACATGACATACAGTTTCCCAGGATTAAAGTTTTTGTTGCAGTTGTATTTCCTGTGAAGTTCAGATACATTGCTCTGTCAAAACAGCTTTGAATTCAGCTGTAGTGATGGAGTCTTAAGGGTCTAGATTTGCAGGCAAGTGTTGTGTAATCTGCTGTGTTCTACTTTTTACAAAATTTTGATACTTAAACTTCACTGCTATCAAGATAAAATATTTGATTTGTGATAGTGTCCATCTTCTTGTCTTCTGAGCAAATAGAAGACCTTCTGTCTTGCTATTCTTGAACCATCCTAGAGACTGACACAGAATTTTGTCAGTATCTCAAAAGACACTGCTTACCACTACACTAATAGACCAAAACTCAAATTTTGAAAAGCTACTTCAGTGTGAATGCAAGATTTAATTGTACACTGTACTTGTAATTAATTAGTTGAACACAGCAGTATTTTGTACTCATCTAGGCTAACTAAGAAACAGCCATGTAACAAAAAACAGCACTTCAATACAAAAGTTCAGCACTCATCCCCAGTTTTTAATAAAACAATGCTTGTTTTCCAGCATGTACAGAGTTCCTAAGTGCTGCAGTATGATAATAGGCTGATAGAGAAATGCAAGTTGGGAAGTTGATTAGGACAAAAAGTTTCAAGAAACTGGTTGCTTTGCTCTCACATCAAAAGGAAAGGCTTTAGTCATCACCCACAACCAAAACTTTTAAGGTGTATAGTTAGTAACTCCCTAAAGGGCAGTTGATAAATTAATAGATATATAGTATGATACATTAATAACTATTAATAGCTATGCTTTGTCACAAAAGGTGAACTGGAATTAAGAATCAAAGCAGCCATGTTCCTAGAATGTCTTTATGTGTATTCATTCTTGTCTGGACAAACACAGCAGTTTGCTCCTTCCTTCTCCTTCATGTTACAAGCTCATCTTTGCTTTAGCCCATAATGTTTTGGGTGGTTTTTTTTTCTTTTGAGACACTTTATGTCTCTGCATATATATATGTGTGTGTGACATGTATATATATATATCTTCTAAATTACACTATTTTTACTTGCTATAAACCAGGCTTCAAAGTCCCAGCTTCCTTTCATGCTCTGTGTTCAGAAACCTCCCATCTCTGCAAGTAAGCCTGTGAACCAGAGCTGGTGTGACAACTCGCATTGCTTTGACTTCACCCATTTTGAAAGATTTGCTGTGTTCTCCTTCTCTCATTTGCTTCATATCTGTTACCCACAGCAGTTGCTTCTTTCTCCTTTGTGTCCTTTTCTGCAAAACCTGCACTGACTTTTTCCTTCCAGCTACATTTGTTTTCCCCTTCCCTACCCTATCTGCCAGATTTTTCATCAGCTGCTGAATAAAGTTGCAAGTTATTCAGGGCAAGGGCTGTGTCTTTACTTTCCAAGAACCTTCAGTGCATTCTGAGAAGACCAGAGCCTGTCATTCTGATCTCCTCTGGCATGTGCAAGGTGTAAACCATGAGTGGGGAGTTCTCCAAGCTTGTGGAAATTCTCTTTCCTTTAGCAAATCTGAGTGCTTTTGAGAGTGTCAGCAATGCTTCTCTGCTAAGAAACGCTGTCAGCTCTTTGAGCCACGCTGGTGGGGCTGGCCCAGCTCCAACCAGCCCGGATGAGGTCATGAGCTCTGAGGTGACTGGATTCAGCCTCTTGCCTCCATGGAGACAGAAGCCCACAGCAGGAGCGACAACAAACAGACAGGGGAAAGAAAACACCTGGTAAGAAAACAATTTTCTCTTCCCAAACACTGCTCTTTGTTGTATTTCCACTGGATGGCCTAAACCATCCAGTGTTGTATTTCCACTGGATGCCCAGGACTGAAAAGGCCTTCCCCCTCTCCTCCATTATTTCCTTATGTTTTGGCAGGACCCAAAGTAGCAACAGTGGTAGGAGAGTGCAGGACAGCGAAGGCAAAGCTGGTGTCTGTATTGACGGCCACTACTGCACCGCTCTGAAACTCTACGTGCTTCACAGGTGTTAATTCATTTTTGCTGTACACTATTTTTCAACCTTGCTTTGAGTTGGCTCCTTTCCATGTCCTACCTTTACCCCCAGTCAAAGCCCAGGAATTCACAAAATCCGATTATCAGAATGCTGTTTCATGTGCTCTTTAGTTTCAGGTTTGCATCTGAATGAAAAACTTGCAGATGAGTTTTAGGCTAACTTTTCAAATTTCTGAGCAGCATGTTGTGTGGTTTGGCACCAATAATTATTTTGGTGCCTATGTAATGTAAGTATTTCCCTTATTTTTACATGAAGAACCAGACTTTAAAGTTACATGTGTAAAATAATTCAGCAAACCAGTGTCAAAACTCATATGTTTTGACAAAACTGTCAGGACTCAGGAACTGTTTCTCCAGCCAGTTTTATCACAGGTCATTCAGTAATTATTAGCATTGCATAGATCTCTTACTTTATTCATAAATCTTTAAGCACAGAATAAGGCTATTAAGTTATTTTAATGATAAATATACGATTAAAATCTTATAAATCAACCAAAAGTTTGATGTAGCCCTCCATATTTTATTTGCAGTTATAATACAGAGCTGTAGGAGAAAATAAAGGCAAAGTATTCCTTAAGGAATTTACACCTTTATTACTTAAAAACTTTCTAACCTAAATGAAATAGCAGTTCTTGTAGCTACAACAGCAGTGCTTTGAGAAGGAATAATTAGCAAAGCTAGTAATCAGAAAATTAATAGACTTGCATAAATATTAAGTCTACCTTCTTTGCTTTTGCACATGGAGTCTAGTATCATTCTCCTCAGCTTGCCTAGGGCAAAGGAGGTGGGAAGGGCTGCAGGGCCACATGGTTGCAGCCACTACACTGGTTTTGGGAGGTCCTGTCCCCCTGCATCAGCTTATCGCAGCAGTGTTGGCCATGCAACCACTGGGTAATGTTTAATCATGCTGAGTGTTGCTTAGAGAAGTAGCCACTACAAATTTTTGTCTTGTTTTTGTGTGAGACAGGGGCTCCATGGCTCAGGATGAGAGAGGGGCAGGGATGGTCAGCTCCACAAATGATCCAGACACAGGTAAAGATCTGACAGAAGGCCTGGAGGAACACTGTGAGAGCTCCAAAGAGAGAAGTGAGAAGGCACTACTGCTTTCACACCTAGAACAGCAGCATCACCTTATATCTATGCTGACGAAGAAGGCGGATGACGCACACAAACGCTGCACAGGCCTGGAGCAGCTCAACATGGAGCTGGTGAAACTCAGGGCAGAGGATGCTGTGAAGATTAAAACCCAGACCCAGCAGATTCAGCATTTGGAGGAGCGCTTTATGGATCTGGCCAACAACCATGAAAAAATGATCCAGTTCAAGGATGAACACAGGAAACGGCATATGCAGCTGCTGGAGGAGAACAAGTGCCTGCGGCAGGAGAAGGAAGCACTCTTCAGGCAGGCTGTCAGGGAGAAGGAAGCTGAAGTGCTCCAGCTGGCTGCCCAGGCCAGAAAGCTCTCGCAGCAGTTACACTCCTTACAGGAGAAACATGCTTATGAGAGTCACAGAGCCCAGGAGAGAGAAAAGGAGCTGCTGGAAGCTCAGAGCCAGCAAGCAGATGCCTATGCCTGGGAAGTGGATTCACTGAAGAAGCAGCTGCAACTCCTACAAGAGAGGCACCAGCAAGCTGCTGCAAGGGCAGAATGGGCAGAGAGTCAGCAAAGGGCTCAGAGCAGTGAGCTGCAGGCCAAGCTGGAGAGAGCACATGAGGAAAAAGAGCAGCTACGGAACCTGGCCATGGAGAGGGGCAAAGCTCTGCAAGTTAAGGACTGGGAGATTCAGCAGCTGGAGAAGCTGGAGACTGCAGAAGAGTCCATGCAGGGAGAAGGAAGGTGCCTCAAGAAAGAGGCAGCAGCTTTGGACAAAGATCGAAAGATCCAAGAGCTCCAAGGACAGCTAGAAAACACCAAGCAGGCATACAACGAGCTCTCACTGCGGTTCGATGCTTACAGAAAGCACAGTATGGATTTGCTGACTAAAGAGCGAGCTCTGAATGCCAAACTCCGTCACTTTGTTGCTTAACTGCTACTTTCTCCTCTGTTCTGTTCTCAGCTGGAGCCCCTATAGTAACACACCACTGCATTTTTTTCCTTCCCATGGGACCACTTCCTGGTTTCTTCACCAGCTTGAACCCTCCTACAAGGACTGTTCGGTAGCCTTTTTATCAGTACACTTTTACCAAAGTAATCACTACACTGTTGTTAAATCCGAATGGGGATTGCTGAACCAGGCAAACCTGTGACGTGAATGATTAGGGTGGAAAATGTAAAATATGAATTTGAGTCATTTGCTTCTAAGCTCTGCTGAATCATAGGTTTTCATTTTTTACAGTTAAAAGCACTTTCTTTTACAAGATGACCAAAATCTCAAACCCTTAGCCTTTGATTCCTTAGCCTTAGTTTTTGATTCTTCCTTGAATCACAGAACCAATTAGGTTGGAAAAGACCTCTGAGATCAAGTCTAACCTTTGACAAACACCACCATGTCAACTAGACCATGGCACTAAAAGCCACATCATCTTTTCTTAAACACTTACAGGGTTGGTGATGCCACCACCTCCCTGGGCAGCCTGTTCCAATGCCTGACCATCCTTCTGTTGGGAAAGGTGAAGGTGCTGCGCGGGGAAGCAAGTGGCCGACTCCGTGTGGGTGATACAGCAAGCTCCATCTTTATTGTCCGACAGGCTCTTTTTTATACAGTGCAGAAGCGGGCGTACAATTATCCATCATTTTTAATTGGCTAGGCTCTAAAGATAGCATTCAGGTACTCCCCATACTCACAGCTGCAGCTGTGAGGTTTATCTCCTGCTTTCCCAGGCTTGGGTGCATTCCTAGCTGTTTTTCTGAAACAAACCTGTTTGTTTCACCCTCAAGGACGAGTTATCCCTGCCATCTGCCCAGCTGAGTTACTCCCTATCTATATATAAGTTACAATCTCCAGAGCCTTGCTTGTACACACTGCATTCCCAGGTGCGTTCCCAGGACTGTGTCTGTACGTTCCCAGGGGACTGCGGCCTAGCTCTTTCTGTCCTTCCCCAGGATTATATCCCTGCTCTCTTAGCCATTCTCCAACATCCTTCCAATGAAGAAATTCCTCGTAATGTCCAACGTGAGTTGCAGTTCAACTGAGGCTGGACGTGTAAGAGGTAACACTGAGGCTCCAAGAAATAAATCCCACCTTGCAATGTCTCAGCCATAAACAGAAAACAGTAACATCATACAACACCTGGTGCTTAAGCAAACTACCGTGTACAGTTTTCTAGTAGTCTTACAGGTTTCTACACTTGTTTAAATCTTATGTCACAGCATTATTTATATCCCCATTCAACTCAAAATAGATTTGCAGGTTTTTTGGGTGATTTCAATAATCTTTGAAATGGTTTGAGGTTCTAGTTATTCTGCCAGGTTTTTTTTCAGGTTTTAAGGTGCTTTCTGTAGAGATGACGGGCTAAAGAGCATCCTCCACTTGAGCTGTAGGCAGCTGTCTTCAGAGTTCTTTAAGTTCTTTGCTGCATGCATATACCTTGGGATAACTCAAGGTTTTAGCTAATGGTTTGAGTATCATCTTGTCCTGAGCATTTACAAAGCTTTAGAACCACATCAAACTCAAATCTATTGAGCTCATGTACAGAAGTGGCCAAAAGCAGCAGGACTGGGAGTTCCTCCAGCCATTAACCAATTCATCTCAAGGAGTTACTGAACCAGATGTGGTTTCTGGCTGTGACACAGGTTGCCCAGTGAAGGACACCCCATTCATGGCAGTGTTCAAGGCCAGGCTGGATGGGGCTTTGAGCAACCTGGTCTAGTGGAAGGTGTCCCTGCCCATGGCAGAAGCGTTGGAACTTAAGGTCCTTCCCAACCCAAAACATTCTGTGATTCTATGACTCTGATTCGAAGTAAGCAGTAGCTGCCAGCAGACTTGTCTTCTGAACTTCTCTGACCTCTCCTTAAGCCCCCCACAAAGCCAGGTGAGAAGTCTTGCTCCACTATGTGCTGTGATTCTTCTGATCCTGGCTCCTACAAGTGTCATTCCACACCTGTTTTATGGACCACATCATCCTACTTTTTAACCCTATTTTCCCCCCTCTGCTGTGCCCACCCCACATGCACATTTAATCTCAATGCTAGCATCCACAGTATAAATGCCTGCTGAGCCCATGTTCTGAGGAAGAAACACAGAAGGACTAGAGCTGGCTGCTCTGTTCTAATTAATTGATGGGTAGCAAGGAGCGTCTGTATCCCTCTGCAAGAGAGCTGAAACCAGGTGCCCAAACAGTATAGATCTAGGTCAGGAACACCCACTTGCTGTGTGACTGAACAGCATCACAGGCTTCCCCAGTAAGAAAGCCCTGAAATCACCTGGGGACATCCCCTTCCCTCCCCTTGGTGATGTCTATGTGTGAGACCTTCCTCCCTACTCCTTTATCCACACACACACACACACACACACACGTGTCTATGTGTGAGACCCCCCCCCCTCCTCCTTTATCCACACACACACACACACACACACACACACACACATTGTGGCCATCATACACTCCCTCACACCCCCGACACACCCCACTCGCCTCCCATCACACACACACGACCCACCCCATCCCTTGCACACCTCTACCCCCCCCCTGCCACTCCCCCATTACACCCCTTCTCACATCCTCCCAACCTCATCTCCTGCACTCCTCTCCCCCCCAATCACACACTGCGTTCACACCCCCATGCTCACACCCCTCCACACCCCTGCCTCTACACACACACCTGTCACCTCGACCCCATCACACCAACCCTCACACCCTTCTCCCCCCACATCACACACACCTGCCCTC